TGCAAACGCGGGTCAATCGGGGGAGAGCTGCCATGTGGGCACCCTTTTCTTACGTGTTTAACTGGCTGGTCTGGCTGTTTCCCATGCCAACTATGGGCAACCTCGGTTCACTGTTTATACCACCTGTTGTGGTCAGGGTCATGTCGTTTGTGGGATCGTTGGGGGTGGTGTCGATCATGTATGAGCTTGTTGACTTGTTTGTACCCCCGGCGGTCATTCATATAGTAACATTTCTGTCTACTATACAGTCTGCATATTGGTTCATCTCCCTGCTGGTGTTATCATTATTGTTGGGCCTGGTCATTGGCAAAACAGAAGCCTTCACTTCCTCCTGACTTCATCAGGCCTCGAGCAAATGGGGTTGGTGCTGGCCACCAACAGAGGGGCTGGAGTGTGGATCTGTTCCATCCTCTGTCTGTGTAGGCAGATTGGCACCATGGGCGGGGGGTGTTTGCTCCCTCTGCCTTGAGGCTGTATATGACAATGTTCTAATATATTTCTAACAAAAGAAAAAGTTGTTTCTTTGTCTTGATTTTTTTTTTCTTTTTACCAAAACCACAAATGTTTTATCTTTAACAGAGTCTTCTTCTAATTTTTATAACTGAGAGCATTACAGCTCTCTTATCCTGAGATCAGGTTAGATGATAATCATATGTTGCCACCTTTAATGCGGGTGGTTCAACAAAAGAAATTAATCAAGAGAATGATGAGCCAGAGTGATTGAACTCTGCTGCATTGTGGTGACCTGGCTGAAGAACTGCCCTGGAGCATGAGATCTGTTTTCTGGTCCAACTCTGCTGCCAATTATATATCAACTTTGAGTGAAACACTGTTGTAAATGACTGTTTTTCCTCCTTCTGTAAAAACAGAGCAAAAAAAAAAGAGCCTCTGCTAAGTGCTTTGGGAGCTACGGATGAAGAGATACCCAGGGGAGAGCCACAGTAGCTATAAATGTCTTTGACACAGAGTCCCTGTGTGATAAGGAGCAAGTGATATAAACTTTCTGCCTTAGCTGTGCCATCTCCCACCAAGGGAAATAAAAAGTACTTGCCTACCTCACAAGGGTCTTGTGAGAATTCATTTAATTAACATCCACAAAGCCATGTAAGGCTTAAAGGACTTCAGGTATTACATATTATAATCATTAAAAGATATGTGGTAAATCAATGAGATAAAGAAAATTGCATTTTTCCCTCTTTCCACTTCATATATTATCTGCTCCTTCATGCAAGGTTCTGTTAGGGCATCTATGAAGCAGAGGAACAATTTTTTAGAACTCGTTCATTTCCAGCTGTCAGCAGAGGCTATTACAGTTTCTACTTCATGACAACTTTGTAAATGTGGAAATAATGTATTCGAGAAATTGTGCTGGGCAGATTAGTCTTAGTGCTATTGGTACCAAGCAAGCATGGTTTATGCTGATTAACTGCTGTGGTGGTGGTGATTGTTTCAGTCCAGAAAGTGGAGATAAGTGAGAGTGTTTTTTAAAAAAAATCTATGTAAAGACTGGAAGTATATTTACATTCCTTGCCTTTCAGAATCTGTTCCTGAATTTGAGGCATATAGAAGTGTTTTAGTATTTATTGCAGAGGTTTTTTTCAACGTCTTCACTGCATCAGTCTGGCTGTGCTTTGTCATACAGCTAACCTTGCTGCACTGCTGCTGCTCTCCTGCCATGAGGCTGTCAATTCAACCTTAGTGTGAAAAACAATAGAATAAGTCAGGTGTGGAAGAGATGGTTTTGATGACACATACAACTACTAATCCCTTTTTAAACAATTGTCAGAGGGGTTTTTTTTGATATTTTATGCAAACTATACAGCCTGGAAACACCACAAAAGAGTAAGCATTTTCTTTCTAAGGGTTCTTACTGAGACATTACACAGATTAATATGAAGTTGATACAAGTTTTATACTCTTACCTTAGAAAATTATTTTTCCATCCAACTTTTGCCTCATATTGCACCAGCAGCAGAGAAGCTCTTTAAGGTCCATGGTGCTGTTTTGCAGCATCACCCACTAGGATCCCAGGACTGTTTTGAGCCTATTTTCTAGAGAAAGCAGAGGAATTTTTTGCTACTACTTCAATAAATTGTAACTTCCCAACAAAATACTTGTAGTTAAATGCATTGCAATGTCAGCCTGCAGAGTGCAAAATACACTTCAGTTCTGCAGAGTCTCATTTTTGTAGCCCTGTCTTCTCTCTCTGGGTTAGGTGGCTACAACTTGTCACTAGACCTACTTGTCCAGCATTTATATTGAACTATTACTGCTAGGTATTGGAGCTCTGATGGTGCAGAGGTTAATGTGCAAAGTGATCTACGCTTACATGACGAGTCTGATACGTCTAGGATACATCAAATTTGTCACCAAGGTATACACTGACTCTGAGACACGTATAAAGGAGCTCTGAATACACGCAGATATAGAGGAGATCCTTCTTAGCACATATGCAAAGTAGTCTTTACACAATTTAAGTATCTTCTTACTTACAAAAAAGCAGTAATTGTTTCAGTAGGAAATAAAAAATCAGCATTGAAGTTAACCAGACTGGCTGGAAAACAGGCTGGGGGTCAGCTCCCTAAGTAGGGACCTACCTTTCCCTGCAGCCATCTGTGTTTGGACTTCTGCTCAGGGTTCTGGTCAGGCACCACCATAAGCAGCCAGCTGCTGTGTCTGTCACTGTGCTTCCGGATCCAATGACACAAAGTATTTTAATGCCTGGATGGCATAAGGAAACTTCTGCAGAGATCTTGGTGCAAAGGCCAAAGCTCTAAATGCTAACTATTTGCTTAGATCACAGTGGAAGTCAGGCAAAGATCTTCACACTTTTTTCACTATATACCAAATACATTTTTATCCTTAAAGGGTGGTATGTGACCATAAAAATCAGTGACATTACATGAAATCAATGCATGTTTTGGTACTTCAGAAAGGGTCAATTGGTTCACATCATCCATTCTGTCCTGATACCTCCCCATCACACTGGTTATCATGTTCTCTAAAGCATCATTTAACAGGGATAGGTAAAACAGTTTTATGTGCTAAGACATAAATCTGTGCTAAGGCATAGTGTTTGTGTTAACTTCATTAGTCTAATATAAAATACCTTCTCACTTAAAGGAACGCCTGGTTTAGGATACTTCTACACATGTTTCGGGGCAGGCTGGGATTTAGAGGACAGCTTTGCTTTATGCCTGACCCAAAAATCACTGAAGTTAGTGATAGATATCTGAATGATCCCATTTAATCTTGGATTAGGGGCATGAACAGTGATGTGCCAATGGTATATGTGTGCACATTTCAGCTACTGTCAATGTAGCTTGTACGTCTGGGATCAGATGTGTCAGTCTCACCTATCCCCAAACCTGTGTACATTTCTTTTTAAAACCCCCATCAATTTTATGCTTGGTCTGAGACTGTTCTCAATATTCTTGAAAATGCTCTGAAATATTGGTAAAATGTGAACAGCTCATTAAAAGTTCCAGCTGCACCACTTGTTTTCTAAAATGGCACAGGTTAATTGCTTTGTCAATGAGATGCCTATTACTTAAGCTGAGGTAACAATCAATGTGCTGTATTACTATACCTTTTAAGTAGCTTAGCAAGGTTTGAATGCAGATAATGAATTGCTTTTTATTTTCAGGGACAATCAGTAGCAAGATCATTTAGGTTTGCAATTGCTCTGTGAATCTAGTGAAGCTGATTTACTTGAGCTGAGGGTCTGTTTCCAAACCTTTTGTATATTTAAATCCTTAATTTTAGTATTCCTGGTCTTAATATCCTTAATCTTGATATCCCAAAATCTGTAGATGCTTGAGCTTTTAGTCTTTTAGTTAAAGAATTCTACTAAGACTGCTTTGAATTGCGCTGTATGTGCATTTTATTTAGAGAGAAAATGACCAATCTTTTAAAGTGGTACTTCATTTTAAATTACTTAAACAAAAATAGGTTTTGTGTTTCTATGAAGAGCTAGTATAATGATGATATTCCAAACATCACAATTCTCCATATAATTACCAAGAACTCTGTGTGTGTGTTTGTGTGTGCGTGCTCTGGCTGATAACACACTGTTTCTAGAGTTTAGCTCTTTCAGCTAACTTCTTCAGCTTCTTTCACTTCTGTTTTTGCTTTATGCTCTGAGCAAGTACATGATTCATCTGAGAAAGTTTTACATAATAGGTTCATTTTAATTAGAATGCCATCTTCAGTCTTTATGTGTTCTATGTATCTGCCAAAAATAGTGAGTATATAGATTTTAAAATGCAATGTTAATATACACACTGAAAATAACTAACTAACCAATTTAGATTTCATTAACACTATCGTTTTCAGTATTGGAACTGCTACAAAAGAAGGATCTGTAAGAAAGTTATAATTTGCTTGAGAAAACAATGTCTAAACACAATGTTGCACAAGAGTATTTCAATATGTGTGTGTTACTGTATATATTAATCTTAAAATATTTTTAATTACAGAAAAAAAGTAAAAGATAAATTAAGCCAAACAAATGTCTTTGAAGATCTGTTTTTAATAACAATGCCACCAGCATCAGAGTGCAGTGAGCCCAGTTTTATGTGTACTTGAAATGAGACAGTATTGCCAGAAAAAAAGTAGTTTTTTCTTCTTCCTCCAGCTCCTTCTGCTTACTCCAGGCTGCTCATTCCTCTCCCCAAGCATCCCCCACGTGCTGGCAAAAGCATTCATGCAGCTGGATAACAGAGTGTGCAAACTGTGTGAGATAGAAATACTTTTATTGTTAAAAGCTTTAATCTTGACCAGCCTCCTGCTCCAGTTCACTGTGCACCCTGGGAAGGGTTTTGCTGCCAGGAGGGCAGGGGCAGTGCAGTGCTGGGAAGGGCTGCAGGGAAGTCAGTGCTTGCTGCTGATCTTTTGTTTGTTTGTTTGTTTTTTTCCTGTTGTTTTTCTCTGCAGAGAGGAAGGAGAACTTAGGAGCCTGTGTGCCTACTCTTCATTGCAAGTCTCTTGCATATGAAACATATCCCACGATTCAGGAGAAAATGGCCCAAAGGGTACCTAGTCTTACAGACAGTGAAGTTTCAGGAAAAAGATAAAACTGCAGAAGTGTTTTGTCCATCTTCATTCTGTCATATCTGCTTCCAAGCATTCCTAACCTCTGTTCTGTCATTTTGTCCCCATCTCAGCAGGAGGGCATGTCTTAGATTCCATACCACATCATGGGACAAGGGTCCTTAAGTCAGCACTCACTCAAGTCTGCTCTGGGGCTAAAAGCCAGATAATTATGCTAGTGTCACACTCCTGCAGGCTAAGTACACTGGCTGGAGAAATAATATATGATGAGGAGGATTTGTGAAGCTTAAAGGACAGGGGATCATGACTGAGGGCTTTTATTTAATTATAGAGAAAAACTAAATTATGAAAAAGCAGCAAAACCCAAACTGGCCAGGTGGATGAGTTGTAAGGGTTTGATCACAGGAATGAGAAAGGAGTTTGTCTTCTACCAGGAACATGCTGCTCTGCCCAAAGCATGCAGGATTTAGGATGACATAGCACAGGACCTTCCCTGAACCCAGTTCTCTGCTGCTGGCAACCACACTGATAACACCTTTCAGAAGTGGTCAAATTCCTTTTAATGAATTAGGTCCTTTGTCTCTGCTTCTTTACTAGTACGTTGTCCTAAAATTTCACATTGCTGATGATTAGATTTTTTTTTTACAGCTCTTTTGTACTCATTTTGCATCTACCTCAGTGCTCTTTCTTATCCTATCCCTCCCTGATGTTTACTCTGATCTATTTTTAGATAGCCTTCATAACCCCTCATAGCATTACTTTCAATAGATTAAAGTAATGAAGCTTTTTTTGTCACCCTTTCATAAGACATGCTCTCCACTCCCTCAGATATTCCTGTAGCCCTTCTCTGCACCTGTTCCAGGCTGAATTTCTCTTTCTTGAGCCTGACTGGCTGGAACAGTACAGAGCGATCCAGAGGAGGTTTTGCCTTGGCCTTATAAAGTGACATTAATATTTGCTTTCAGCTCCATCAGCTGTACCTCACATCATACATCTAAACATCACATTTATTGCCTCTTTCACTATCACACCACATTCGTGGCTCAGTTATTCTGTGATTATTTAAATACATCCATCTTTTTCTTCTTTGATGATCATAAAGTCACAAGCTCCTGAAGTGCAGTAGAACCATCCATTTCTAATCTCTGTCCTAGAACTACCTGTCCCAAATAATGTTACTTTGTTCTTCATCCTATTGCATTTCAACCTACTTCTGTTGTTCCACTCGAGGCCACACAGGTTTCCTTTTATCTGACACAGTGTGTGATCCAGTGTGGCCTTGCACAGCTACCTAGCTGAAAGTACAACAGAAATTAAAATAAAGAGCCTTCTAGGAGGTGCTTGCTCATGGTGCTGGAATAAATAGATTTGATAGATTAGTGTGTGAAGTGAGGAACAGTTTCCTGATGATTTTAAACAAGAAAGTTAAGAGAATATATTAAATTATTTATTACTTCTGTTTTACTTTAGCTTCTTGAAGTTTAATTAGGATGCACCCTGGTGAAAAAGTTGTGGGGATTTTGTTGTTGTTTTTTTGTTTATTTGTTGGTTTTTTTTTTTTTTTTTTTTTTTCTGAAGGTAGAATGTGCCTTCAGGGTGAGCATCAGTTCCTATTAAACTTTCCACAGAGAAGTTGAAGAATCTACTGTACTCTGAAGGGGAAAAATTGCTTGAATCTGCATTTTCCCAACACAAACCCCATGACTTTACCACAGATAAATATGCCAACAAGTGTTCCTTTCACAGGAAAATGTCCAAAAGGGTATATTTAAATTTGAGCGATGGAGCAAAATTAGGAAAACACCTCCTAAGTATGTAAAGTCAAGGGTTTTATAGAAATGAATGGTCGCCTGTGTGCCCTGAGGCTAACAGTGACTTCTCCTTTGCTGCCAGGAGACTGAAAAGCCTAATGCCGTGGATGAAACTGAGGCACACACAGAAAGCAAGACAGATGAAGGGGCTCATGAAGAGCCTCAGTCTGCTCAGTCACCATCAGAAGATCAACAGGTAATTTTTCCTTTTCCCTTTGTGATATGAGGGTTTTGTCTGTGCTAAGTATATAAACATAAACCCACAGGCCCTCCTAGTGTGCTCCTAGCTGGGAAGACTGATTGCAGAGTGATCCTGCTTGTCTTTTGGGTGCATTTTCTTTGACATCTAGATAAATGAAATCTAGATAAATCTCCAGGCAACTTTAATCTGTATCTTGAGTAACAGCAGCAGCCTTTACCAATTTTCTTTTGCAACTTGTTACCATAAACTTTATTTGAATTCTCATTTGGAGCCAGACTCTTGTTATGGAGAATAATTTAGGACTGGACATCTGAGTCCTATCTCTGTGGAAAATTTTGCTGCTATCAATGCCCAGCATTTGCAGTGCTCATAAATCTTGTTGTTAATGTTTGTTGTCATATACCAGTATTGACTGCTGTTGCAGCAAGGCTGACAGTGTCTTCTCCAGGCCATGCAGAAAACCCTGGGCAGTGTAGAAATGGAGACTACTGTTATCTTTTCTGTCTGCATCATGGTCTGATATTACATGGGCAGACTTCACACTGCAGTGCTGAATGTTCTTGGAAGAAGCCATCTGAGTTCCTTCAATTCCCTAGTATAATATCCTGCAGTTAGCCAACATCAGTAAAGCACTTGTGTTGAAAGGTAGATGGATCTCACAAAACAGGATCATACTGTTGTGTGCCAGTATCTTCCTCAATGGGGTGTTTATGTTACTGGCCAGGCTCTTGACCCAGTAGAGACTAAGCAGAAGTGGATCCTGTGCCTGGAGATAAGGAACCAGCTGCTTTATTTCTCCTGTTGCTCTGACAGTTTGGTGTTTAAGGATGGGTTTATTTTGAAGTTGCAGTGTCAGGTGCCTCTCTTCCCAAAGAGACAGGTCTACTGCGAGGTCAAGCACTTACACTTGCCATTTTTTTTTGTGGTTTGGAGACCGGATGGTCCTCATGGACTATCTATCACAAATGCATCATCTCTATCACTAAAGACCAGAACAAATGTGGTTTGATTGTTGGTTTCTTTTTTTTTCCATCTAGCTGCGATGTTTTTCCAGAGGAAGCATCTCTCTGTAAGCCTTTCCCCATTGCCCTTTTAACAGTGACTGAATCAGTTACTGGTAGGCTGGAAAAGCATCCTTTCACACAGCCTCATGCAACTCTCAGGCAGTAGGAGGTCCCATTTAAAATTTCACAGTGATGATGAGGAGAGGCAGTGCTCAGTGGGAACTAAAATGTCTCCATAAGTTATATCCAAGCACTTTTCATGTCTTTATGACTTTCAAATGGCATGTGAGCACCATCAGATACCTTTTTCCTTGGCTCTTAAGAGAATCCCAGCATAGAACTGCAGTGCATCCCCTGGCTGGATTAGGTTACTTGCCATTCTGGCTGGCAGTCTGCTCTGATGTTTTTCAAATGAGAACAGAATGCTGGAACATGTCTGCAAATGTGTCAAGCAGCTGTGTATGAGAGGTTTTGTGAGGACATAATGCAATACCATCCCTATGCAACAAGCACCTTGCTTCATTTCTCACAGAATGGATTGGAGCTATAGGTGGAAAAAATATTCTCCTTTAGTTTTACAGGGAGAGGAAGAGTCTTCCTGAAACTCCAATACCAACCTGCATCATGCCAGGTGTATATTAGCTCCTAGGGTAAGGAAAAAAGCACAGTTTCTGTTCCTGTCTCGCTCGTTTTTAGAGAAAGTACCACTGCAGGCAGCAAAGTAGCAGGGGCTCCTGCTGGGGATGCACAAAACTAATTTTTCACCCTGTTCCACTGCCTGCTTCCCACGTCACCCAGGACAAATCGCTTCAGTGATGTGGTGTCTGTCCACCTTGTCCCAGCTCATCACAGTTATTGCTTCTTTTGGGATGGGATGAATCATTCTGTAGAAATTCTGATATTCTCATTCAGCACAGACAGCACTCAAAAGACGAGTTCAGATGAGAGGGATAACTCTGAGGCAGCTACAGTGAGATGAATTCTGCCTTTTGTCTCTGGACCTCATTTTATCCTCATTTCTTTTATAAAAGAAAGCTTGAATAGCATTTTCTCTACCTGGCCAGGGTTTTATGACATTAAGTACATTTAAAGACTGTAAGATTTCCATTGGACTATCTCCAGCGGATGTTAGGTCTTAGGGGATACCTGTAGTATCAACACAATAGTTTCAGTATTTCCCTCTCTTCCTCTCATTCTGCAGCCCAGCAAATCTTGTTTGACTGCTTGATGACACTGAGTAGATGTTTACCATTTGCTTTCCCTACCAATGTCTTTTTTTCTTCCAGCTTACTAAGAGCTGGTCTCTGTATACTAAATCCTGAAAGAACGAACTTTGCATCAGTGGCCCACTTGCATCTTTTGAACAGTTGTTGGGTCCCTTTTGGAATGCCAACTTACTCTTTTGGCAAAGCCCCAAATGAAAATGCCATTATTTAAAAATCATGGGTTTATGCTCTGCTTCTGAATTAATATACCAGTGGGAATCCAGTATTGGCATTTCAGCCTTATTTAGCACTCAGTTTTGTACCATCTTAAATCTGACTCTCCCCTGAGGGGTGTAACCCGGCCAACTTTTCTCCAGTGACTTTGCAGGAGAAATGCCAGTACTATGGAAAAATTTTAGAAGAATATTGGCAAGGTAAAGATATCTCAGTCTTTGCCAAAGAGCACAAGACAGATGACAAAATAAACTGTGGCTGTCTCAAATTTGGGACTGCATAGAGGGTCCCAGATTTCAGAAGGCTCCTCCAATGCCTCAGTAGAAGGAATGCCAATCGATGGTCTATGTAGGTTCTTGCCGAGGCTGCAGCCCTCCTCTACTGCTTCTGCTGCCCTTGCTGGGAGATTAAGGAATCCAGAAGCTCCAGCTTTTTGTCTCCAGCAGACATGATCATGAAGAAACCAGCAAGAGACCCCACTCCTCTGAAAAACAAAACTCTTAAGTCAGCAGCTGCCTCCTGGAAGCAACAGGGCTAAGTGCACAGTGTGGCAGGTATTTCTTCACACACCTCACATTGGACTGCCCAGGTTCCAGCAGCTCCAGCCCCTCATTCACACAAGCATCTAGCATAGTCTGGAGTAAATGTCAAAATAGAAAGTCCTTTACACAAATCCAGCAGTAAGTAACAGGAACAGCTTTCAGCCTGAGTCACCAAGGGACAGCTGCACTAGGATTTCTTTAGATTATGGATTTTTTTTTTTTCACCTTAAACCTGTTGCATACTTTCCTTCCCTAATCACTTCATCAAGCTTATCCTTGACTTCTTCCTAATCTCTTTTTCGTTCCTAATCCCCATCATCTGATGGAGAAGGTTGAGGAATGACTTCATTTTGATATAGTAGCCCCTTTTCTTGCCTTGTCTGCCCCTTTTTTTTTAAGTTTTTTGAGGAAAAGTCTCTTACCTTCTATGCATATGGCACAGCAAGGGCTCTGCTGGTCACTAGATATAATGGTAATTTTTTTTTTCTATTATCTGATTTTAACTTTAGATTTTAGCTTAGGAGTTAGAATATTTTTTTTAAGTTGTATCTCACTTAAATCATTTTGCACTACAGATTGTACTTCAGGGAAGAATTAATTTAGAAGTGCGTTCAAAAATCATATTATAATGCAAGTCTGTATCCTGTCCCAGCAATTCCCCAGGCCATATAAAAACCCTGGCACTGCAGCTCACTTCCTTATCTCAACTCATTCCATGCAAACATATATCAGCCACTCCTGCCTTCTGCATGGTACTGTTCCATTTGCTCTTTCTCTTTGGGATTTTGTGTAAGATTAGCTCTTCGCTCCAATAACCAGCTTGTTATCTAACGTTAAATTCTATTCACTGTATATTTATAATTTTTTCTCTTTTATCTCTCTTCGTTTCATCACTTTTGCTCAATCTACAGTCTAAAATAAGCTTGTATTATTTCTTATTCCCCAGTACCATTGAGCCAAGGCATCTGTTCCAGCCTACAACAGCTAACAGAATTGCAAGCCAGATTCTGAGGGATGATATATAAAATAGATAAGACTCTGCATAATTCTGATTTAAGTTTCATTCTGCAGACCAGCTAAACACAAGAAAAAAACCCAGCTACACCTGAAAAAGCAAACAAAACCCCAGCTCTAACGCTTTACTTGTCAATGAAGCAAATTTGATTGAAAGTAACTGAGGAAAAGGGAGGTATATTTAATGATTTTATAGCCCTTTTTCAAAGTAAACACTTATCTTAAATTTGCTTTCAGTTAATCTGGAGGACATTATCTCAAAATAAATCCACTGAATTTCACATAATTTTCCTAAGTTCAATATTTAATTTCTGCTGTGTTTTACCTGTATGGCTTCTGATAGTATTTCTTTGATCTATTTGTTAAACATTTTATTTTGTATCTGTTTTGTAGGAAAGAAAGGAAGAACATGCAGCAACAGGGGTATAGTATATTTCAGCATTTTGATTTCATCTTCTGTTTTGGTGCATTTAATTCCTTTTCATTCTCATTGTCTCACTCAAAAGTTAGTACATTCTTAATCATGAAACTAAATACGCTAGTATTATATTCTGCTAGAGATAATCAGTCATATCATAGTCTTATTGTTTGGGAAAAAAAGATAGGCTTTTAATCATTAAAAAGTGTAAATGGGAGAGAAATTGTCTTTCAGGGATTCTTTAAAATTTGCCAAGGACTCCCAAGACAACTGTATCTTTGACAGCCATTAACTGACACCGTGCTGATTACATTTTCAGTGTTGTGAGTGTGAAAAAGATTCATTCTGATAATTTAGGCAGTTCTGCCTATAAAGGAAGTACTTCTCTTGCTGGAATTTGTTTAGACCCAGGTGCAAATCCTCACATTTTTCTGCTTTGCCCAGCATTGCTGGCTTATGCCTTGAATACTTCTTCACTGCTCCCAGTAAAACTAATAATTAAGCTATTTTCCACTACAAACATGCAATTAATAAAAGGATACATTCTTATCTTCCCACTTCCAAACTGCTATGCATGTGTATGCATACACCTGCCTGCTGCCAGTTATGCATTGAGGAGCTGGCAGCTGAAATGGAGCTCCAGGGCCCATGGGCAAAGTGTGGCGGCTTCTGGTGAGGCTGACGAGAGCCATTAAGGCTGATTAGTGCACCTTGACACCAGTAACTAATGCTTCAAGTAAGAAAAATACACCTTTTTTTTCTGTAAAAGGCAAATGACTTGAGGTTTAAACTCAAGTTGTTAATATCTGAAAGATACTGCTTGTCTTTGGGCTTGCCTGGCCCTGTTTCAAAGAGTGCTAAAGAAAGACACCTTTCCTGGGAGAAGATTGCAAAAGAAGCAATATTCCTTTGGCACAAGACCTTCTAAACCATCTGACCTGTACAGACATTCTTATGACATTTCTGGTTCTGCAGAGACGATGCCTTAGGACAATGGTTTTCCCTGAAAAACAGCAATTGAAACCAGGAAACTGGTTACAATAGGTCCATTCCCAAGCACCTGTTTAAACAGGATTTTCCTTTGGTAGTTTTTACGTTTTACTTTGGTGACTCAGGTGTGACTCTTGTACAGACAATATGTGCCTGAGAGGAAAGCCTATGGTCTGTGCTGCTCATATGCTACCTGCAGTCCTGACTGAAAACCAGTTATGTATTCTTTGGTTCATTATGCCAGGAAGAAATTCCCATAGTTTTTGTAGCCTAGGTACAAGGTATGACATTTTTTGACGTATGAAGGTATGGCATTTTGTGTAAAGCTTGTTTATGCACACAGAAAGAGTGCCTTTGAAGAGTTTGATGGAAGAGAAGGAGCAGAGAAGCCTACAATGCAATTTTCAGTTGTTTTTCAGAGTAGGACTACACTTTAAAGCTTCACTTACTAGCTCTTAAAAGACAATAAACACAGATTGTTGTCTGTGTTAAATAAATGCTAGCTTTCAGATAACTGTTTATTTGGTTCACAGAAGCAAAGGGGTATTGGCTTTAAATTGTGCCATTTCTCCCATATAAAAGAGAGAAATAAGAAAGAGAAAGAAGTCTGTATTATCTGCCTCCATATGATTTTTAATTATTCAGGATTTTTAATTATTCCTGCACAAATCTTGACTTGTTTACTGCTCCCCTAAATAATAGAATTAAAAATACTAAACCTTTTGTCATATTTACATATATTTCGTATTCTCATTTTGATCTTGGACACCTATTTACATCTTGACTATGTACTGTGTTCTAACCTCTCTAAAACAAGGGTTCCTGTATTCCAGCACTTGCCTATTAACTCCTCAGAGCTAGAGCCCTGACATGTTAAGGTTAAAAACTCTAAACGTTACTTCTCTGTTCTATTTTTAAGGTGAAATAATAATACATTTACTAGAAACAGAGCAGTTGCTAAAGCAGAGCTGTGCATTCCAAGACCGTTTATTTTCCCTTCAGTTCTTATGTAACTACAACTCTTTTCTATAAAAAAGGGAGGAGAAAAGCAAGAAGAGGGAGGAGAAGAACAAGAAGAGGGAGAAGAAAAAGAAGAGGTGGAGGAGCAAGAAGAGTCTTAGTACACTTCCCTGTGACACTTTCTTTCTTGAACAGGTTTTCAGGTAACTACTAAGATATTCAGCACAATTTCTGAATATTCTTAAAGTGACATAAACTTGAAAATTTTGTACATAGTTGCTCTATGCATTGACAGAAATGGAAAGAACACACTAAACTCAAAAAAGGTATTGTACATTTGACACATAATGGTTAGTCAGAACTATTGCCCTTAATGTGTCTGTTCTTCCCATTTCTGTGGCACCAATTAATCTGACTTGCCTACGCAGCTGTCTCTGTGTTCCTTAATATCCACCAAATACTGCAGGCCCTTCCATCCTTTCCCCACTCTTACAACCTTCACCTACCCCGCCAGGCTTCTGACATCTACTTTGAGCATATTTCCTAGTATCTTCCTATGGTATTTCCTAGTATCTTCCTATGGTACTTCCTAGCTCTCTGCTGTGTCTCCTAAGTATGGGCGATGAAAAAAGCAGCCTGGGGATGTGTAGTGCTTGATACAAAGTGCCCAGATGGTGGGCCAAAGGTTCACTTAACTCTTGGATTAATTGCAGCTTCTTTTTAAACTGGGATGAGAATTTGTCCCTCTCTCTCACTCAGCTGTTGATCTCACTGAAACTTTCAGGAGCTCCATGTCTCAAATGAAGCCCTCTCTCAAGTTTAGTTGAAATGTAAAAACAAACAAAAATTATTGTCGAAGGGAAAGGAACCTGACCAGAAATACAGCACACTATAAATTTACTCAGATCTCCTTAAACTTGGCCAAATATTACTTTAAAACATCAAAACAGGAAGCATCTGGGAAACAGAATGTATGCCTGTATAGAGGTATGAGCATACAGCATTGCTCAAGTTTTGTCAGCATGTAGTTTCAAATTTAATTTTCAGGTTTTCTTCTTCCTCCTACTGTCTCTTCTCTGCACAGAAATAAACATCAGCATACAAGAAAGTTGGAATTTCTGTCATGTTTTCCCTTGGGTGGTGGGACTCCCTCCCAACTGCAGACACAGTGTGACCCTCTTTCTAGAACTAGTTGCCATAGGCTTCACCAACCATATGCTGATGTGGAGACCCAGTACCTCACGAGGACAGAAAATCCACCACCTCTTTCAGGCTGCCTCTTCCAAATTTGGGTTCCTCTGTTGCATGTGAATTAACTAATCCCAACACTGTCCAGTGTTTAGACATGTAAAATCACAGGGGGAATGCTAAATTCTAATCTAAGTTTCCTTACCTTTGTTCAGGAAGCACAGGAGCAGCCTTGAAAAAGAAAATAAACCCACTCTCTCAAGCAAAACATCACGACCTTTCATGCCTGTAGACTAATGAACACATAAATATGTAACAGAACAAAGACATCACTCTGTCCTACGTGTGGCCTTATATATATATTTGGTATCCAATTGCTTGTTAAATAGGTCTTCTTATATCTGACTGGTGATATTTCAGTTGCTTGTTGTATGTTGGAATAGTATTGTCCATGTCACATTTTAGTTTGTAAGCTCCCCAGGGCTGGAACCATGTCTGTCTTCATGTTTGTATTCTGCCAAACACATTGCTGCCACACAGCAGATAACTGGACTCCCACAAGTGATGTATTCAGAGAAAAAGAAACTCAACACTGAAAACTGCAAAGAGGCTTCCTGTATACAAGATAAGTGAGTCACTTCTCCCTCAGTTGGCTTTTGAAAATAATTGAGACTTCCATTGTACAGCAGTTTAAATAAATGTGTTTTCTGTCACACCTGTTCTTTGTCTGCAAAAGCATTGATTTAACCCTAGCAAGCTGTGCTAAGGTCTCTGAAGTTAAGTTTTCTCCATCAATTACAGTTCCAGGCTATGCAAAGTCCTTCACCTTACTTTTCACTCCTGCTGATGTTTCTGGGGTTGTGTATAAGACCCCCACCATGAGGATTCACAAAAGAGATGTTCCTTCTATTGATGCCTTGTCAGTCTTCATGGACATCCATATTTGCTGGGCCAGGAAGGCAGAGAAAATTAATCCCCATTCCTGCTGTAACTGCTGGTTAGAAGGTCACTGAGGAGGAAGTAGCTTGGATTTCAGTGCTTTGTCTTATTACTTCTTTATGAGATTTATGAAACCTACTTATAGAGGAAGGAAGGGGATGAGAAATGCTTATGGCCAAAGTAGCCCATGGCTTCACAGACAAAACAATCTCCAAAGGAACCACAAGTTTATGTTTAACTCTGACCAAGGCAAGGCTAGCTTTTCAAGCGGAGATCTCCTATGACAATAACTGCACAAATAAAATGGATGAAAAAAAATTTGAGGTTTCCTGAACGTCCTGAGTGGGTACATTTTTTTGTTCAGGATATATTTGAAGTTACATTTGTTGGGAGGGGGTGGAAGGGGAGGGAGTTCTCTCTGTCTGCGTTGTTCTTACACTTGTAGGCGATGTTGAGCTCAGAACTGACAGGTCAATGAGGGAAGGACTTTGGAGCCCTCACGGCTCACCAAAATCATCCTCTCAACATGCTGTAGTGGCCAAGGCCTAGGAAAATGCTGGGCACCATCAGGAGGATGGCATGACTTTGCTGCCAGCTAAAGCCTTGCTGAGTTGATGTCTTGAGCACTTTGTGCAGTCTAGTCTCTGCATCTCAGGGAAAACAGTGGTGTAAGAGGAGGTACAGAGACAAAAACAATTAGAGAGGATGAAACAGCTGCTCCCTGAGGAGACTGAAAAGATTTTACAATTTGGAGAGGAAGCCAAGGCATTTACAAGAGCCATAAAGGCCACGAATAAGATGAATGCAGAACTGTTAGTCAAAAAAATCCTGGCATAATACAATGAAAATTAGTATACACAGTTAGTATACGCAATGAAATTAGTAGATCAGCTTAAAACAGATAAAAGAAAGTACTTTTTTTATATGATAGGTCAAGAAATCATGGAATTTGTCATTATGGAGACTGACAATTTCAACAGGCTCAAGAAAGTATTGGACAACGTCAGGAACAGGAAGCTTGTAGATGGATACTACAGCCTGGGACGTGTCCATCAATATCCCTAACCCAATGAATCATGGATACTGGGGACAGAAGAAATTGAATACAGCAGATGTGCAGGCCCTAAACAGAGTTGCCCAATTCCATGTTCAAAGACTGAGTACCAGGTTAGGTGAGCCACTGATCTGACCATTTCTCATGTTCCTGAAGATGATTACTCTTCCTGGGTAAAAAGTCTGCCATCTCATCAGCAGTTGATTTGGGGTGCCAGTCATCACGGCAGTAGTTTTTCCCAAAAGGCTGGACATCTAGGAGTGTGGTAGATAAAATGAAAACAGAACTGTTAATCACTCTTGAAGTGAAGTAAATCCAATGAGCACGTGTTATGCAACAGCCAGTGTGCTCATGATAGCCTTGAGGTATTCCCAGGCTGCCCGAGTTCCACATGGCTGCTGAAACACGGGCTCCTCTTTTCCACCTGCTGATGTGCAGAACAAAGCGCCAGAGCCCATTCGGTACATCAGGCAGGGCCACAGGCTTTGGGCTTGAAACAAAAGCACTACACCTCTCATGTTCAGGTATTACTTGTTAAGGCAGAAATATGACAACCATCTTTTCGAGAGGGTATAATCTGTAAAGCCCGTGGGAGAATGTGAGGAATGCCAAACCTCCCATGCAGGAGTGACGTGCTGCCCTGCTCTTCAACTGGGGACCAAGGCTGTGCTCAGTGTGCAGTGAAGAAGCAAAGGGGAAAGGGGATGGTCCCACCCACGACCCGGCTCTTTGGTGCACTCCTTGGGATAACGCTCGTTAGCGTGTGCTGATCATCTTTCCTCACAGACGAAAAGGAGGTTGTGAGTATGCAAAGGATAAGCTGAAAGCTGCTTGGTGATTTTAGCCATAATGTTAATTCTGCTTACATAAGCTTAATACTTTCTGCAGTAATGTAGTGCAACTACACAAAGAATTAAGTCTTTTCTAACTGTGACTGAGTGAAAATCCATGGCACGAATACGTGAGCAATTGGCTTAGATGCATTAGAAAACATACTGTCTGCATTTTTATATCATTTATATTTTACTGGGAGAAATCAACTGCCATCAGTTAACAGGGTGCACCCAGTACGTGATGTTTCACGTGCCTCAAGAAGCTGTGGAGGCAAAATCATTCTGGTGCACCCCGGTTAAACACAACCCAGCATGCCACTTTTTGTGACACTTTGACATGTAAAGTATTTTCCTTGGATGACTGATGCTAGAAACTTCTATTATACTGATACAAGCTAAAATTAGAAAGGCTTCAAGCTATAGTTCCTACAGATCCATGTATGTCATGTTATGGTGGAACTTTAAAATGATTGATTATTAAGTTTAACAGGCTGCTGAAGTGAAAAAGAAGCGACTACAAGTATCAAAGCAATTAAGCAGATAGGGCTAGTCAGTGGTTTGTTTTCTGAGGGGGAAAAAAAAAAAGGTGTTTTTAGGAGTTTCATTCTGTTGCTAGTAATAAAGGGTTTCAAATAATAGCTCCAGACGGCAGCCTGGGCCATGCTGTCTCTTGTATTAGAGCACTTCTGAGACAACAAATTTTGCAAGAGGTTTTCTTCTAAGAAAACCCTCAGGGAAATTCTTTGGAGAGAATTAAACTGATTAGTAGTTTTGCCACTACAGCACTAGCCCCCAGTCAGTGTTTCTGACCTTTCCAGTCACCACATCTGTTTACCTGTCTTCCAAATAATAAGACTAGCGAATAGTTTTCTATTTACTGTGAGAATATCAGTATTAAAGGAGATAAGACTATTTATCCGCGTCCTTTGACAACTTCAGGAAGCTGGAAATATATGCTCGACAAACAACCTGGGAAGTGTCCAGGCACCCACTAGTTCTGGTGTCCCCACCTTGGTGCAACAGAAGGGGACCCCTGGAGTGGGTCAACCTTCCCGAACTGTGTCAGATGGCTGGGAGGTACCCATAGCTGGAGGGGAGCCTGAGGAAGCCTTCCTCCCATCTCAGGCATGACACACTGCAGTCAGTAAGCATGCTGCTTTTAGAGTTAGAATAAAAACTACACTGTTGCTGCTGCAAACGGCTCTGGACAGAAATGCTCGGTAGCTTAAGCTTACTTGATGGTGGCCCAAGCTGGGAACTTGAGGCCCATTCTCCTCTTTAGGCTGGGAGGAATTAATCTCTCTCTCTACAATCACATGCTGCCTGTCCTGCAAAATCAGCCTTGAAGGGGTCACTGCAACAGGGAAGTCGCAGCGAGCGCAGGAGATGATGTAAGAGAGATGCTGGGACACAGGAGGGCCGGGGTGCAGGCAGGTGGGGGTGAGGGTAGCTCTCAGAGCCAGAGCACCCGACTCCCAGCTGACTGCCCATGTGGAGCCGTGGCTGTGGAGCTGGCAGCAAAGCAGAGCAGTTTCTGCTCCAATGACTTTAAGGACAGGATCCTGGATGGATGCCACTGTTCTGTCAGTTACAATTTCCAACTTTCTTGGGATTTTTTGGTTTGCTTTTATTTTTTACCTTCAAGCTTTACAGTGTTTTAGCAGTAATGCTATGACAGAGTTTATATGGTTTCCCTTAATAGTGGCTTGCTCTGTGTGTGTGTGTGTCTGTGTCTGTGTGTATGTCTGTGTGTGTCTGTGTCAACATCTGTCCCGATCAGAGCAGAGGCTGCAGGCGAGTGCAGAGCCAGAGCAGCATCCTGACCAACTGTGCAGTCTGCTATTGCTGGCCTTAGCCTCCAAAATCACATTACCCTGATGAAGTTAACAATCCCAAGGCTTGCCAGACAGCACAAAGCACATGAGCTCCCTTCTTTCTTGCTGCACAGCCTGTATTTCCCTTCCCCCAACAGAGGCTTTTTTCTTTTGTAATATTTTATTTCAACAAAAATTAATCACCTCTACAATAAGCTCAAAAAAAAAAAAAAAAGCATGATGTATCCTCTTCTAGCCTATTCTAGCCTCCCGCTGGGCAGGGAGAAGTTCCTCCCTGCAGCAGCAGCCCCTGCTGATGTTCTAGACACAGCACAAGGCAGGTAGCAGGGCTGTATGTGGCCCTGCTGGGTGGCAGCTGGAAACAGATGGGGTGCTGCTGGTGGGTGCTTCTCCTGGGCTCCCAAAAAGGCTAACTTAGCAGAGCGTCTGGGGTCTGCAAAGTAGATGTGACATGTGATGTTTTTCACCTGGTCTTGGGTGGAGGAGAGGGAAAGCAAGAAAAGAGAGAAAGAAAATGGGGGGGCGGGGGGGAACCGGGAACCCCTTTTGGCACAGAAGCATCTTTTACTCATTGCACATGAGCAATTCCAAGCAGTCAACAACAGAACGTGGTGTGTTAGAGGAGTTTTGGCTTTCTGCGTACTCCAGTACTTTTCCATAAGGATTATAGCATTGCTGGATTTTAATGATGTGGTATGCTGCATTAATATTGGCTACATCTAACTTAAATGGGTCTGATACTGGCGTCCATGTGCTCTTAATCAGATTTTGATGAAAGCTAGAGGCAGTAAAAGAAAATTATATTCAGCTTCTGGCCAGCCTTGAGCTGGTTTCAGGGCAGCTGCCAGTGTGGCCCATTGTGAACAAATGCAGGAGCTGGATGAAGCAGCTCTGGCTAGACCCTGGGGGCCTGGGTGGCTAAAATCTGGACAGGGAGTAAGGCAGCCATGCTGACCATGGTGGAGTGGGTGATGTATCTCCTGGCTGTGGCTGGAGGTGGTGAGGATCCCTTTGCCTGATACCCTACACTGGGAGAGGAGAAGCCACTGGGCAA